AACTGAAAAGATACATTTGACTAACCATCTTTAGCTAATAGTTCTGTAATTTATATCTCCATCCTACCAGTCTCCAAATTTATATATACAGTTGTCTTCTGAGCACCTTCAGTTAACCTTTTAGCAGATACCACAAATTCTACTGAACTCTGTTTTCCATGCAAATCTATTCTGATAGCAACTTTCCTCACCTCAATTGATTTCAACCTTATCTTTCTAGTTGTTCAATCCAAAACCATGTGTGATCCTTGACTCCTTGACAGCTCACTTCCATTTCACCAGTGTGACTAAAAACATGTTCAGAATCCAACCACTTCTTAACAACACCTCTGGTACTACCAAACCACTACCATATCTTAAACAGATTGTTCTACTATCCTCCTCACTGGTCGCTCTGCCTATCATCTTGCTCCAGAGGTAGTCCGTTTTTCATAAGCAGTCAAAGTGATTTCTCTTTCATGTGAGACTATGCCACTCTTCTGTTTAAGCTCTATTATGGATTCCATTTCACTTTGTAGAAACTCTCAAGTTTTTAGAAGTGTAGGGTTTCTAAGTCTCTAGGTAAAAATTTATATTAGTAGTTACCTTGCCGTAGTGCTATCTGATACTTTGTAGAGTGTAGATGTGAAAAGAAATTACACTTAAAGGCCAGGGAGATAGCTCAGTAGAATAAGTACTTGCCTGGCAAGCACAAGGCCCTGAGTTCAATCCCTGGTACCAAAAGAAAGTAGAAATTACAGTTACTAAGGCAAGCACTGTACTGTCATAAATCTAGGTTAGCCCTAATCAGTACAACCTCCCTGGTATGCACAGTTTACCCCTATAAATTTAAACTCTTAAAAATTTTCATCAAGTTGATTAATGAATATTATCTTTGTTGTATCTATAGGAAATATGGGCTGCTATGTGACTGAAAATGTAAACAGGAAATAACTCTTAGCTGTTCCTTTAGGCAAAAAAACCCTGTTGTTATTTTTTGTAAAGCTAAACAGTTTTGCAAAGCACTTATAAATTCACTGTGTGAGATCAACGTGGTAAAAATCAACTGTATTAAATGCAAATAATTCTTGCCTGGTATCTGTTCCTATTCCTGTCAGAAACATGACTCAACTAATTTCATGATAAGGAGTTGCATAAAACACCATTCTTTCTTTGATGGTTAATCAAGTTATCTTCTACTTTAGGGAACTCAGGGAGATTTTTCTATAGCTGCTTGGAACATTACCATAAGTGAGTCAGCTGGTAGTACATAGAAAGATGATCGGTAAGAACAATATGGATTTCAAAGTCTGTGCCCTTTGCTCTAGCCAAGTGAAGTCCCAATGCGCTATCCATTGCACTACAGAGCCACCTGCTCTAGCCAAGTGAAGACTTACATTCAGGTTTGAGCCTGTGAAGAGGGAATTTCTGGGAGAACTTAGTTTTCTAACTTCAGCTTAGATTTTAGCAGACAGTAGATCAGAAACAAGGAAGGGATTTTTAGTGGGTGGAGCTTCTAGAAGTCCATACTCCAGGAAGTAACAGTGAACTCGGAATGTGCAGAGACAGCAGAGTTAATAGCAATAAAGTTATTTAGAGTCATCCAATGGAAAGCCTTGAAGACACTGTCACATTATAGCTTACTCAGTAAGTAATGTTCACGATGATTACACTGAGTCATCCAAAAAATAAGAGTTGTTTCTAGGCAACAACCTATTTAGAATGGAATATATTTCAGAGAAAGTGGTCCCTGACATAGCTTTAAAATGTAAAGCTGACATAATTAAAGCCAAACATTTTAGCTTTGCTTATGTGGGCCACCACAGACCATGAAGCCTTGTAAGACCTATATGAAGTTAGCTGATGATTGAACCTATGAGTCCATGGGAAGAAGAGATCTTAGATAGCTTGGGAACAAAATCCAGCCCTACTATCTATCAGTTGTGGGAAACTGGGCCAATCATAGAAACATTAGAAAGCTCAGGTTGCTTAATTCTAGAATGAGTCTCACAATCCTGACCTGAAGAGCTTGGTGCAAAATGTATGCCATCACAAAGACAGTATCTGTGAGTATTGCAGGGGAGTCATTAACATTTATGTAATCCTCTCCTTTAAGATGGCAATGATAGACTCAGTCTTCTTTCTTAATCCACGAGGTTTTATTCCAGGACCTGACCATAACTAGGGATCAGAATACCTGTCACATTCTTCACCACTGGGCTCATGTAGACTCCTTGACTGACTACCTTTCCCTTTCACACATGATCCTGCTCATTCCCTTGGTGAGCACATCCATCCTACCATTTTAGAGCCAGCTAACAAACTCCAACAGCATTAATGATAATGTTCCAAGCAGATATAGCAAAAATCTTTGAGTTCCCTAAAGTAAAAGATAACTTGGCTATTGCTTACAGTCCAGGTAAAACTTTGAGTCAAATTCTGAGCCAATCTCTGCTGCAGTATCCTTGAAAGATGACCTTACAGATAGTTGCGTAGACATTTAAATATGAAAGCTTACTCATTGTTGCACTGCTCCTTTCATTTGGAGTGGCTTTTACTACTGAGCTCTTGGTATTGTTCTTTGTGTTCTCATGTATTAATTCAATAATACAACATCCCTATATAGGGTATATAATATTATCATTGCCTTTACATTAAAGAAATTAGGTGCAGAGAGGTTGTTTCAGGGGAACATTTGGATCCAATGTAGCACTTTACATTTTGCTAAATCCGTTATTGAAAAAGAGGGGATAGTGCGTCTTTGGGTTTTAAAAATCAATTGTATTCTTTTATCAGGGGACATGAGTCAGGCAGCATCTGACTTGCTCCTAGTGAATACTCCATGGACCACATACACATTTTTCCAAGTACAAATCACATTCTAAATGCCATATTTTATGGTTTTGTGAAATATCAAGGTCACACATGATCTATCTTTTATGCGAGAACCCCCCACCTCTAATCCTTTTGAAAGGAACAGCTTTCTTGTGTGTCCAGTCTTCTGATATTTTTGTTTCTACATTCTTTATCAAGACTCCATTGGACCAGTTGATTTTCTCAGCCCCAATCCCTAGGTCTTCAATAAATTTTTTCCACTCTCAGAATGGGGTAAGAGAACACATCAGGTAAGTGTCAGAATGTCAACAACTTCTCAATAGAGTGGAACAAAAATTCCAGCAATTCAGTAACTGCTTGTAGTTGGCAATTCTGAACTAGTTTTCCTACAGAATCAGTGTAAACAATTCTCCCACTGCATTTGCTTCTCGAAATTTCTTGGCTTCCAACATTTTCTTCCCTCACTATTATCTTAGGCTTCTTGTCCAGCTATTTTTAGCTTGGATTTTAGATTTTGTTTTCTCCATTTCAATTCGATAGTATTAATCTAATTTTCTGCCTTCTTGAATTAAATTTGGACTGGTCTATCCTTCTTCTCATCCCTAAACCCAAATGTTTCATTTAGGAAGTTATAGGACCAGAGGTGTGCTTCTGCTTTTACTCAAGTAACAATGTAATTCGTCATGCAGAGACTCATGCTGCTTCCTATTTTGTTGCCTGTTGGTTTCTAATGCAGGTGAGAAAGGAGTGACTTTCTGCTTCCTTGAATGTGGGGGAGCCTTACTGACACTTCTTGGGCTAGATTGCCCCCAGCTCACTTTCTCTAAACATTCTTTATTATTATATTTAAAATCCAGCAACTGCTTTATTTCCTCAGAGAGTACATTTGATTCACATTTGATGTAGGAGAATTTATCCATCATCTTCATCACAGGCACAAGCCCTTCTGTTGCTCTTTACCTATCGCTCCATTATTGCTTCTGGACTGTGGACTACAACTTAGTTACAGGTCTATTAATCTGGAGTCAGACTGCATGGAACCGTGATCTGGTCCCACCACTTACTAGACAACTGAGGTTTGGCAATTTATTTGAATTCAGTGTCATAACACATAAAATGACAATAAATTTTGCTTGTGGTTTTGTTGTGATGCTTAAATAAAATATCAGAACACAAAGCATTTTAAACAATTTTTCCCCATTCTAAAATAATACGTAGAACTTTGGAGTAAAGTTAAGTAGTGGAAATTTTTTTAAGGCTTGGTTATTGTCATTTCATCTGAACCTGGAAGACTTGTTTTTCTGGGTGAAGAAATGTTTTCTCTGTGTGAAGGTTTCATAATCACAATCAAGCAGGCCTATAAGCCTTGCTATTTAAAGTGGCTCCTTTCTTTTATCTGTGACACGTCTACACCCTGGGAATAAGGATTGAGTCAGCTGCTCAGATTCAACAGAATGACTACTGAGGTCTCTTTGCATTCTGTGTTGCTATGATCCTTTGGCTATGGATGGACAGAACTTGACGTCGACACGCTTTGGATTTCATACACGTGGTGGAGACATTCTTACTTTGTGACCTCGACTGAATTTTGAACAGGTAAGTGAAAGCGAAGGCTGCACAGAGTTAAGTCAGCCATAGTAATAGTGTTTAAGGTGGTCATCTGAGAAACAAAATGAACCTGTTAAGTGTTCCAAATCCATGTCAGGAGAGATAACCTGTGTAGTGGAGAGTAGTTTTATCACTTTAAAAAATATCCATGGTAATTAAAACTGGTCAGAAAAATTGAATTCAATAAAGACAGAGGCAAAAATCATTTATTTGGAAGGAAAAGCATTACCCAAGTACATTACTTAGCTTCTGTGAGGATGAACTTGAATAAAAATAAAGGAGAGATAACCATGAATGGAATTGTCCAAAAATAGATGAACACCAACTATCTCGCATGTTTAATTCCAGCTCTCTCTCATTATTGTAAAATCATGACACCCTCAGTGTACCTTTAACAGCTTTTTAGGAACATATTAACCAAATGCACAAGTCTGATTTGGCTGTAAAATACTAGGGGGAACTGAGGTTTTTTAGGATTAATGAATAACATGTCTTTATTTGGTTTACTTAAAAAATCATTTTAAAATCTGTTTACATATCTTTTCTCTTCAGTATTAACTTTATAGTGGTTCAACAGATTGTTTACTGTTTTCCTCTTGTCTATTTTTTTTTCTTCTCTCCTCAGTGCCCAACCCAAGTTCAAAGGCTGATGAGAGAGAAAAACTCAGGAGGAGATTTTACTCTGGGGAAAGTTGTTCAGTGGATGAGATCTTTGTGCACGGGGAAGATGTCAGGCTCCTCCTGGTTCCTTCTCAGCCTTGTTGCTGTAACTGCTGCTCAGTTTACCATAGAGGAACAGGCCAAGACATTTTTGGACAACTTTAATCAGAAAGCTGAAGACCTATCTTATCAAAGCTCACTTGCTTCTTGGGATTATAACACCAATATTACTGACGAAAATGTTCAAAAGATGGTAAGTTCTCCCTGATACATAGTGGTTATTTGTTGCTCTTTAAATATTTGATTTACTGTCCATAAAAGTGAAAGGGGAAATGAAGAAAATATCGAAGCTGTGAAGTTGCATGTTTAACTCTGTATGTCTGATTCTAGAGTCCCAAATGAGTAAACTTGATTGACCTTGGGGTTTGTTAAGAAATTTTTAGAAAATAATTCACTGTTTTTAGCCTAGCTTCTAGAAACAAGTGAATATGCATTATAAATTTTTTAATTTATAATATCATAATTATCAAAACATTTCCTAGACATGCCATAAGTTATTGAGTTAATAATCTCCCATAGCCTATAAGAATATCTAAAGTTTCCACAAATGACTATTAACTGAAAAGTGCAACTGGAGTCTTACTGAGAGAACCAGCTAGTAATTAAGTTAACCATGTGTTGGGTGAGAGTGGACTTGGGAATTCCTTCTCTCATTGTCGTAAGCTCTGAGGGACTTCCAAAGGTCACAACAGAGTTCTCCAAGAAAAACTATAATTAAAACAGTTCTCAAAAAATCTCAGAATACTCTGGGAAAACAAGATGTTTTATTTGACAAATGCAAGGATTTAAGAATTTTTTTTCTCACAGATCCCAAAGCAGTATATCTGTACTTTCAAGTGTTGGAAAATTGAACAATTATTTTAGAAAATATTTTTGTGTCATGTGAGTTCATTTCTTCAAAAATCCAGTTTGGAGTCTTATGCTTTTTCAAATGATTAGTGTACTGCATATTTAAATTCAATTACTGGCATTCACTGAACCGATCAAATCTGAGAGCTGCTGCCTCATCTGAATTGCCCCAGAATATATACTTTCTAAAGCTCAAAAAAATGTAGATTTTGATACCCAGTTTGTCATAAGCGATGTTTTCCCTGGTCTCGCATTTTGGTCTTACCTCTCATCATCTCTTCATTGTAGCTTTCCCTTGGTTTTCGTTTGATTTCTATTGGGGGCTAACTGCAGTGTAGTGTGCTTGCCTTCATTCGCAGCTGAAAGGGGAATGGCTTCATGGTGAAGGTATAACTAGCATCATGCCCCAAAGTTCTGAAGCCAGAGTATTTACAGCCAAATCCTAGCTCCACTACTTTTTAGCTAGGTGAGTTTGAACTACTTAATTAGCCTCTCTGGGCCTTAGCTTATTCATGTGTGAAAAAGAAAAGAATATTTATTTCTACCTTTTAAGGTTATTATGAAGACTGGATTAATATGCAAAATCACCAGAATAGTTCTTGATGCTTGTGGGTATGGAAGAATAGTATGAAGTCCTTGTTATCAGTGTGAGAGAATTAGACATTTAAAGAGACGTGTAGTTTACACACCTATAATATTCAATAACGGAACTTAGAACAAATGGGGTATACCTATGAATGTCCATTTTGTATCTGTGTATTCCAAGTGGTTGGGATAGATATATAGTTTCATTCTCTTAATGAATGGAATGATTTGTTCTAATGGTGTTTGTAAATAGGATCACAAGTCTGCATCTTGTACAGCAATTAACCACTAAGAAGAATATATGCAGTGTATTATTTGTTGAAACTGAACTTCCGATTGGATTTGAAACTGTCTCATTGCTGTTTATCAATAAAACTTTTTTTAAAAAAGAGACGTGTAACCACCATTCTGTTACAAGCCTATACGTGAATGAAATGCAGTACAGTCTATGAAGGCACCTCTAATCATTAAAGTGCTATTATTTTTGAATCACACAGATAGATTAGAGCAAAGACCAGAAAAGAAAAAGTATAAATCCCTAGGTATGTTTAAACCCAAGGAAAGTATGGATAATTTAAGGGAACAATAAGAACCTTGAAATGTCAGGAGCAAGCAAGAGGCCAGGTGTGTCCTTCCTCAAGTAGTGCTGAAAGGTGTATTGACATACTTAGGTGCACTGATGTACTAAAGAACATGTGTGGGTTTGCCTGGAGGGGAAGGCAGTAGGTCAGGAAGAGAGTAGCTCTTCTTTCTAGTCTCTGATTGCAAGTATTCAGATCTCTAGAGCTGGGTTCTGTAGTGCATTTTTGTAGTCCTAGCACTCAGGAAGCTGAGTCAAAAGGATCATGAGTTCGAGATGTGCTAGGCAGTATGGCAGGGGTTATAAGAGGGACCAAGATGAGAGGATTTTGGAGACATGATACACTCTTCAGGTAGTGAGTATATGTTTAGCCTGGCCACGTGTAAGTGGAAGGAAGTGCGGACTCTGGGACAAGACACCTGGGTTCTAATCCTAGTTCTGAATATCACTAGCTGAGGGTCTCAAGTCAGTTTCTTAGCTTCCTTCAGCCCCATTTCTCTCATCTGTAAAATGAAAATTATAACCGTAATGCTAGTAATACAGCATATGCCATACGGGATTATTGAGGTTAGACAATATATGATTGTGTGTGTGTGTGTGTGTGTGTGTGTGTGTGTGTGACATGTGACATCATGTTTGGCACTTAGCTTTCTCTATGTCAACACTGACGATGTCAAGATTATTATTCAGGGGCTTTGCTTTCTGAAACATGCATAGTCTTGCTGCTTTCTTAAGTTGGTTGTTGTTTTTCAGGAAATAAAGATTTTTCAGTAAAGTCCATTAAGAAATTGGAGGTGGAGGAAGCAAGAGCCTCCTACTTCTGAGGCTCTTCTGATATACACAGAACAGGTGCTGGGAAAATGTGAACTTGAGGGCAGGCAAGGTAGTTCCTGCAGACAGCTATAATGTTCTTTTCTTTGACTGTGTCTTTGCCTGCAGGCAGCAGAGAACTTAGCGTCAAGAATTAAGGAACACCAGCTTTTGTCTGTGCATATTGACAGCAAAGCTTTCCTGCATAGAAGGGAAAATTTGTTCCCATAAATTTGCATAAGATTTGCTTTACTCCATGTTTTACTATAGACCAGGATGTGTACTTTATAAGTCATGTACTGACTCACTAAATTAGAAACAATATGGATTTATTTTAATGAAACTATCTGATGATCTACTTAATCTTCTTTGGGATAAACTCTAACATCTTGAGAAGGATTATTTTTTTGGCTGGTTGAGGTTGTCTTAAGGGCGGGTCTGGTAAAGCATGGGGAGCTGGGGATAGAACCATGGTCCCCTGTGCCTGACAGGGTCTTTCCCAGCAGGTGCTTAAACAACTGAGCTAACCCACAAGCCCCCTAAATTAACTTCTTGGACAGAAAAAAGAACTCACTCTGTGATGCCCAGATCAGTAACATATGCTGGATTAGTAGCATTATGGGCATAAACTTCAGTTTACAGATGAGAGAAATCGGACTGAGGGAAATTAAGAAACTGGCTCAATACCTTCAGCTAGCAATATTCAGAAGTAGGATTAGAACTCAGGTGTCTCACCCCTGAGTCCACACTTTCTTCCACTTACACATTCTAGACTAAATATACATTCACTACCTGAACAGTATATCCTATCTCCAAAAGTCCTCTCATCTTGGTACCTCTTATTACCTCTTATATCCCCTGTCATAGTGCCTAGTACATCCCGAACTCATCAATAACCAACTCCCAACCAAAAACAAATAAAATATTTGAATTACCATTAGTATTTTTATATTAGAAATTACCTGGTATTTCTAGTATTACTTTTGAGACATATTTATCCCCTCAAAGAAGTTTACAAATTCTGAAAATGTTCTCTAGCCATATGCATATTTATGTCACAAAGGTTTTGAGCTAATCATTAATACATGTTAGGAAAAATTATCCTAACTACAATCAAAGCATAATATTACCATTCAACAGTGTGATATATAGCAAAATTTTATATATATATGTACAATATATAGTATATTGTATATATTATATAATATGTAATAGACAATGCAGATTGTATTTGTGTTGGCTATTCCTGGGAGCTGATGAGTCATCACAAATAATTTAGGACTCAAGCGAAGACCTAGAAGCTATTCAATAATGCCCTATGATAATTTTAACTGAGTAACTTTCTGTAAGTATCATAAGCAGTATCACTTGGAAGGTTCTGGAAAGAAGAGAGAAAAAAATATTCCATTCCTTTAAAAATGTAGCAGTGCTAATCATACTTAAAGGAACAATTTTAGAAATTAATACTGTCCTACCAAAAAGAGCAATCAGAATGATTTAAAGGGGTATAAAAATGTTGGGAGTTACACAATACCTAACTCAAAGAGGAAAACAATAGCTTGGAAGAATAACATTTACTGTTATATTGGCCAAAGCTTTAAAATAGAAGTGCAATACTGTTGAAAGCTTAATAAAGTTAAACTTAGAGGAAATAGGACAAAGTGGCATTTTATCACAGGTGGTAAAACCAATATGGCTTGTAGAACTGGAATTATCTTGTCTTACTGTGTCTGGCTAATTTCACTAAACATGATGATCTTCTCTTCCATCTATTTTCCTGAAAATGGCCTGATTCCATTCTTCTTTATTGCTATGTAATACTCCATTGTCTATATAGGCCATATTTGAAAAATTGATTAATTCTTTGAGTATACACCTACACTGATTCCATATCTTGGGTTTTGGGAATGGATGTACAATAATGATGGGTCCACAGATACCTATTTTGTATACTGACCGCATTTTCTTCAGGTGCATCCCTCAGGAGTGTTACAACTGGATCATATATTAGATCTACTTTTACTTTTCTTTTAAGGAATGTCTTTAGTGTCTTTCACAGTGGCTGTATTAATTTACATTCTCCCCAATAGTGCATAAGGGTCCTTTTATCTCCACATCTTTACCAGAATTTGTTGTTGTTACTATTCTTTGATAATAGCTATTCTGATCAAAGTGGGATGGACTCTCAACAAAGTTTGATTTGCATTTCCCTGAAGATTACCAATATTAGGTATTTTTTAATATATTATTGACCATTTATACCTTTTCCTTTGAGAAGTATCTGTTCAAATAATTTTCCTATTTATTTTTTAGATTATTTGTTCTTTTATTGTTAACATTTTGAGTTCCTTATGTATGCTGCATAATAA